AGGCACTCACACAGTGCACAGGCATTCAGGCAAAACACCCATACACATTGAATAGAATATCAGAAATAAGTTTAAAAAAGAAATTCACATTTAACTAGGTTTCTTTTTATTTCCTGGCAAACTTCTGACCTGGCTGGTGAGTGTGCCTTCAGCCATGACCATGGTGAAGAGGACAGAAGCTTCTGTTCTTCAGATTTTCACTCTGTCCCCTTTACATGGTGGAAAACTTGTAAATACACTTTTAATCATTTGGTGCAGCAATGGGTCAACTATTAAAGTGGATACTTCATCTGCAGCTCTTCGGTTAGTATTTGTGCAAGGGCTAAGAGCCTCGGATTAATCATACAGAGCTATGTCTAGAAAACTTGTTTCTCTTGCTGGGTTTGCTGTTCCTACTGAATGACTCGATTTAATTCTGTAAAGCAGTTTGAGGCCTTCACAAATGCTGAATGAGAATATTTTGTTCTCATGAAGTCATGCCCTGTCTCTTTCCCTAATGGGTTACTCTATTGTTTGGCCTTTCAGGACTTGTCAGACCTCCAGGAGAGAAGCCTGCCAAACAGAGACTGGGACATTGTTATTCCAAGAGGGGGCCTGAAAAACAGCTCTCCTGGCTGGGTGTGGTGGCACACAAGCTTGCCATACCCGCACTCTGGAGGCAGAGATATGAGGAGGTCAGCCTGGTCTTCCCAGAGAGTTCTGGGCCAGTCGGGGCTATGCAATGAGACTATCTTGCAAATTAATGAAGAAAAAAAAAAAAAAAAAACTACAAGGATGAAAGGACAAAAGGAAAAAGAGGCCTGCTGTGCCCAGCTAGAGCACTCCACTCAGCATCAGCTGATGCTCTGTGGCACAGGATTCTGTTACCCTCATTTGAGCAGCCTGGTTATTCTAGCAATCAGATCTTTCTGTCTCCTTCCTGTTACCCGACCTTGACACTACCTATTCATGTGCCCTCTGGCCTTGACTCCAGGCATACAATCCTTTCATTTTCTTTAAACTCAGAAGCCAGAGTATTGGAATTTCACAGGCCTTGGCCTGTCTTATGACAACAGTGGAAGAGTGCATCTGCTGTCAAGAGTGTCCTATAAAACCTAGCATAGTTGGTGTCTCTAATATTTGAATCCTGTTCTCTCTACAGAGAACAGCAAGAATCTTTGAACAGCATACAGGGCTAGGAGTCTAAACCCCTTCTCACTATGCTTTTAGTCTTTGCTGGTAATTAACCTTGGGTAGACTGCTAAATCTTTATACTGTGTCAGTTCCCTCTCCCTTCTATTTGAAGAACCAGTGACAATAATAAGAAAAATGAACTAGTTTCCAATTTATTTTAGCTAGTCTTGAAATGCTGCCTAAGAATCTTAAATGTTCTGACACAGCCAACTGTGGTTCTATGACCCTTTACCACAGAGTGGAAGAAAGGTTATGAAAAAGGACTTGTAGATTTTTCATTTGAATCTGAATTCCTTGATTTTCATTTCTGTGTTGTAGTTGTTTTGTTTCATTTTAGCAATGTGGAGATGGAATCCAGGAATACATGCTGTGCAAGTAGGCTTTATGCTCAGCATTCCTGTGTGTGTGGGGTGGTGGTGGTGTCGAAAGCCTGTAAGAGAATGTGTGCATGAATATCCTGTCTATGGAGGCCAGAAAAGCAAGTCAAATCCCCTGGAGCTGGAGACACAGGTGGTTGTGAGCTGCCTGATGCTCATGCTAAGAACTGAACTTAGATCCTTGGCAAGGGCAGCAAGCAATCTCTCCAGTGTACCCCATCCCTTGTTCCAATTTCTTTTTTGGAAAAGGTTGAAACATGTCTGATTTTAGAATTTCAAGTTGCAAAATTCATGTGTGAATCCAACCTGAATAGAATTTTTTTTTTTTTTTTTTTCGAGACAGGGTTTCTCTGTGTAGCTTTGGAGCCTATCCTGGCACTCGCTCTGGAGACCAGGCTGGCCTCGAACTCACAGAGATCCGCCTGTCTCTACCTCCCGAGTGCTGGGATTAAAGGTGTGCACCACCAATGCCTGGAGAACTTCAATATTTTAATTCCTGGAAAATGTGCAAGGACGAAGGACTAATAAACTAAATGATTTATGTTGGCTGACAGCCATAACTATAATTTTCTGTCAAACTTTCTGTTACTTCCCCTCAATCTACTGAGCTCTTCTTGCTTTAGGATAAAAAAAAACAAATCACTTAACAAAAGTACACAAGGTTCAAGAGAGATGACATATTTTGGCATCTCTTGGCACAGGTATACACCAGGTCAGGACACCCCAGAGTTCAATGTGTTTGATGATGCAGACTGGATAGTATCTGGGCTTCCAATTCTGAGCTAACATAGGTGTGGGGTAATAAGAACATAAATCTCTCTTGAATGGTTTGTGTCTTTTATCTTTCGACAAAATATTTTTTTTTTGACCTGCCCTAATTTCTGATGTCAGGTCCCTAAGGTACTCATGCTGTGTCTCTCAGTTCTCAGTGAATGTGTGTTTTATTCAGTGTGATCTCACTTTGAACTAAAATAGACCATAGCCAGAAACCTGCTTGTGCAGGCTTCTCTGGGTTAATAAGCAGGTAAAATTGATTTTTTTTCTCTCTCTGGTTTCTTTGAGTTGGTTCAGAATACAGAGATGCTGTATCTACATCTGATGTTGTATTTATAATCTTAAAAAAGATTCTTAAAAGCTGGCTCCGTAACCAGGTGTGGTGGTACACCTTTGATCCCAGCACTCAGGAGGCAGAGGCAGGCAGATCTCTGTGAGTTCCAGGCCAGCCTGGTCTATAGACAGCTAGAGCTGTTACACAGAGAAACTGTCTTGAAACCAACCCCTGCCCCCTCCCCCCCCAAAAAATATCTGAAAATGGAAGTGCCCCAGATGTTAGCCTTACAATCTCTCTTCACTCACCTCTAGTGTCGTGTTTTTTTTTTTCCCCCTTAGGGACAGACAACTTCCAGTTCAGTCACAAGCTAATTCCCAGCTCTCCTTCCACTTTGTTTTGAGAAAAGATCTCATATAACTAGACTGTCCCAAATTTACTATGTAGGTAAAAATGACGAACTCTTAATTCTACACCTCTGCTCTCTGATTACAGGCATTTACCACCATGCCTGGTCTCTTATGCTTTTTAAGTGCTTTTACTTCAATACTGACTCTAGGGAGGTTGGCAGCAGAGAACTGTCATCTTCAGTTATTTATGTGGTTAAGACTCCAAGGCAATTGCTGTTATAAAGTCACACCCCATGAGATGGGATTCTACCAGGTGTTGGCAGACCTTTGAGTCTTGGATCTCTTTTCTTCACCACACCCTTAAACTGGGTTGGAAAAGGACTGGGCTATTATTCTCTCTACTAGGCATGGGATCAGATACTAAGGGAGGCATAATTCTGATGTCAGTTCTTTCCATCAAGGATTTAAGAAACAAACAGAAAAAGAGCCAAGGGTGGAGAAATTGAAGCCCTAAGACTTATTGTTATGCTGTTGAGGCTTCTAATCATCTCGGTTACACCAATGCCCTGGTTCAAGTTGAGTCCACAATGATTTATTTTTAAATTCTTTCTTCTTAAAGAGTTATTTATCTTTGTGTATATGTGTGTTTTGCCTGCATGTATGTCTGTGTACCACCTGTAGTGCCCAAGGAAGCAAGAAGAGTAAGTTAGAGTCTCTAGAACTGGAGTTATAGTTGTTAGCCACCATGTGGGTTCTGGGAACCAAATCTGGGTCCTCTGAAAGATTAACAAGTGCTCCTAACCTTCAAGCCATCTCTCTGGCTCCTATTTATTTATTGTTTGTGCCTGTGTGAGTTCATGTGCATGAATGATGCATGTGTTGAGTGCAGGTGCCCAGCCATGCATGTGATCAGAGGACAACAATGTGGAGTTTGCTCTCCCCTTCCACTTTTACATAGATTCCAGGGGTGTGGAACTCAGGTTGCCAAGCCTGAGTGACAAGGGCCTCCACCCACTGATCCATCTCCTGGCTGAATTTTTTTAAGTCAATGCAACTGTGGTTGAAACCCAATGCCAGAATGCCAGCACCAGAACACTGTAACCTTTAAAGGCTTGGGATTCCACGAGAAATACTGCAGCTGCATTCCAGAAATCCACATTGCAGACACAGACATCTGCATTCTTGCCTGCAGCTGTTGGTTTCGATCCCTAACACACATTCTACAAAGCTGTGGTGGCTCACACTTCCCAAGAGAACCTAGGTGAACAGGCCCAAGTCAATCTGAAGATCTCCAGTGAATGGGTTGGGTCTGTTGTGTGGCTGCCAGTCATTCAGGGTCAATAAACTTTAGTAATGATTATGAGAAAGGTGGCAGTGGGGGCACTCAAAAGGAAATTTACTGATGGAAAGATACCAAGAAAAACGGAAATCTTTTGGAAATCTTAGGGCCAATCTTTGGCCTCAGTTGATTCTACAGAATACAGTTGCCATTCTCCAATAAATAAATCTGGGCTGGGGTGTAGCTCAGTGGTAGAACCCATGCCTACCAAGAACAAGTCATTGGGTTAGAATCTTCAGCACCATAGAACAAAGAAAAAAAAAAAACTGAAAAAAAAATCTCTACTGTTCGAGCGGTGGTGGTGGTGGTATACACCTTTAATCCCAGCACTCAGGAGGCAAAGGCAGGCAGATCTTTGAGGCCAGCCTTATCTACAAAGCAAGTTCTCAGTCAGCTAGGGCTACACAGAGAAAACCTGTCTTAAAAAACCAAAAACCAAACACAGAAACAAACGAAAAACCTTTATCATATATATATGAATATGATATGTACTCACACAGGCTGGTCTCAAACTCAAAAAGATCTGCTAGCCTTAGCCTCCTGAGTGCTGGGATTAAAGGCGTGCACCACCATACTGCCTTCTAAGTATACTATGCTTCGTAATGTATACTGAATTAACCTACTTCCTTTTCATGAAGAACACAGGAGAGTGGCAACTTTTGGTTTATTTACATTTCCAAATGTCATTACAACAGCCACATTCTAACTTTCAGAAGAGAACCAAGGCTGGTGTCAGCTCTAGACTGATTGTGCTCCAACTTTGTGTCCCTGTCTTTTGGAACCCCTTCATCATATTCTGCAGGTAAGATTCATATTAGTAGAAGTAGAGTTACAATTTCCACCCTTGGAATTGATGTTGAAGCTATAATTTCCAAGTCAATGATGTTTTGCTCTGATCTAACATGGTGGGTTTTATGGCCTCCCATATTCTTTCCATCTTTCTCTTCTTTCCATGTTCCACAGCCAGGGTTTCTTTTTTGTCTGGATATTTTGTCTCCCTACTCTAACTTCTTATAATATCTTTTCCTTGAACCTTCCAATGATCTACATTTTCTCCATGTATCCTTTATGCTATCCTTTTACCCATCATATTATAAAAATGGTAAGACTTGCCGGGAGGTGGTGGCACACATCTTTAATCCCAGTATTCAGGCAGAGGCAGGTGGATCTTTGTGAGTTCAAAGCCAGCCCGGTTACAGAGCTAGTTCCAGGACAGTTAGGGCTACACAAAAAAGACCCCCCACAAAAAAAAAAAAAAAAAAAAAAAAAAAAAAAAAAAGACTTCTTCACAGAAAATGTCAAGCCATAAGTGAAACACAAATCTCATTTATGGATGTTGAAGCCAAGACAGTGAATGTATATGACTTGCTCTTGGTCAGATATGACACTGAAATTATCTTCTTGTGTCCTCAGAGTCTTGAGCTGAGGGCAAGCAAATGCTGTTCCACTGAGCTATATCCCCAGTCTATTTTCTTAGCCTTTTAAATTTTTATGTATTTATTGTTATTATTTTGTTTTTTAGACAGGGTTTATCTGTGTAGCCTGGCTATGCTAGAATTCACCATATAGACCAGGGCGGCCTTGAACTTTCAGAGATCCACCTGTATCTGCCTGCTGAGCTAGGATTAAAGGAATAGGACACTATACCATTCTTTTTTTTTTTTTTTTTTTTTTTTTTTTTTTTTGAGATAGGGTTTCCTGTAGCCTAGGCTGGTCTCAAACTCTCTGTAAAGGAGGATGTGAACTTCTGATGTTAGGTTTCCACTTCTAATTACCAATGACCTATCATATCACATCTGGCTAATAATGGCAAGATCCTAGGGTTTTTTTTTTGGAAGATGGCTCAGGTTTGCCTGGAACTTACTATGTAGCCCAGGCTAGCTTCAAACTTGTGGTAATCCTATTTCAATTCTCTAAATAATTTTTCTTTCTTGTATGCCTCCTTACACCCCCCCCCCATGCTCCAGTGGACATGTGTGTGTTGTGTTATAGGCAAATGGGGATCAGGGGAAAACTTGCAGGATCAGTTCTTTTCCCCAGTGTGTGGGTTCTGGGGCTGGTTCTGTGAGGTTTGGAAACAAGTGCCTTTACACACTGAGCCATCTTGCCTGCCCCCTTTTAAACTTTTTATTGAAGCTTGTGGACTAGAACAGGATTTATTATTATTATTTGCATATTTTCAAGGGCTTGGTAAACAGATGTCTAGAAATCTGTTAAAAGTAAGGCTGATTGATGATTTCATGATAGCCCCGACTTTCCTATTGTGTTGGAATCACCATGGAGAATATCCAAGAGCCCTGGAATTCTCCATTTCAGTTCTTTTAGAGAAGCCTTAATAGAATATATGTTAGGCTATTAGTCCCAGGTAGGAAATAACTTGATATACTGAAATCTCCTGGGTTTTACACATCAGGGATGGCACTGAATATGGTTTTTCTCTTCCTTCTTAGCAAGTTCAAAATTACTGCTGGTAAGAAGTTTTTGGATTGTGGGTGGCTAGGATTAAACCCAGGACTTTTTACACATGTCAGGCAAGCACTTTAACACTAAACCTACACCCCCAGCCATGAGCAATTTTCATTTTAAATCTATGACTTAACAAAAGATTGTTTAGTCTTGGGTTGACAGTTTGTGGGGCACAGGTCTTGTACAGGAAAGACAGCACAGACTAAATAAGACATTCTCTCTTGGCCAATTGCTAGTCATCTCAGTAACTGAGGTGTCTTTTGTTCAGGGTTTGCTACAGGAAGCAATAAAAGAACTAGAAAGTGAATTCCTAAAAAAAAAATAATAAATGAAGCAGAAAGAAAATGAAGAGAGCTACATGTGGTGGTTTAAACCTGTAATCCCAGCACCCAGGAGGCCTAGGCAAGATAACTATGTGTTTACCACCATCTAGGGTTTCAGTGTGGGACCCTCCCCCAAAAAAAAAAAAAAAAAAAAAAAAAAAAAAAAAAAAAAAAAGAAAGAAAGAAAAGAAATGTAGCATGGCGGTTTCTGTTTTTAATCCTAGTACTTTTCAGGAAGCAGAAACATGCAGATCTTTGTGAGTTAGGAGTCAGCCTGCACTATTTGGTTAATTCCATGCTAGTCAGGACCACATAGTGAGGCAGGGGGCCGGGAGGGGAGAAAAGAGAGAAAAGAGGAGAAAAGGAAAATAAAATAAGAAAACAAACTGGTGGGGGTGCATGTGCATGCCTATAACCTTTTGGGGGAGGCTGAGGCAGAAAAATTGCTGATAGTTTCATGCCAGCCTGGGCTATATATTGATTGAGTCTGAGGCCAGCATGGGCTATAGGGTGAAACGCTGTCTCAGGGGAAAAAAAAAAGGCCAACTCTTGCTAGTATTTCTCTTAAAAACCAAACCAAACCAAAACCCTAAATACGCAACTGTAAAACACAAGCAGTACAAATAAGTCAGCAGAGTTAGTACCAGAGCTAAGGGGAAAGGGCTGGGAAAGGGCTGGGTTCGGTTAGTGAGGACTGTTCCCGGCAAGGTAAGGAAGGGAGGGGCAGGAGTTTGACTAAAAAGGATGAGGAGACCATTCCAGCACTAATTCATGAGCAATGGTAGAAGGCAAATGAGCAAGCTGTAAGGGCCAAACAGTAAACAGGTTAGACTGGAGAATTTTATGTTAAAGGGTAAGAAAAAACCAGTCAGACGAGCATCGGTGGTGCACACCTTTCATCCCAGTACTAGGAAGGCAGAGGCAGGCGGGTCTCTTGAGTTCAAGGCCAAAATAGCTCATAGACAGCCTTAGATGGTTATAAATCAATTTTGCTTTGACACAAGGAGGCCTTTTGGGTATCTTAAAAATGAAAACATTTTGAGTAGCTGATATGCAGTTGGAGTAGAATAAAATAAAATGGCAGAATTTTGAAGAAGGGAGCTGTTGTGAAGTTCTCAAGGAGAAAAAAAGAATCGATTGGGTCCCTACTCCAGTTCTGCCAGTTATTAGCTGTATGTAGGTCTTAGGCAAGTCATGAATTTCCTCTTTTTCTTTTTTCTTTCCCCCTGAGAATGGTTTCTCTGTATAGCCCTGGTCATCCTGGAACTCGCTGTTTAGACCAGGCTGGCCTGAACTCACAGAGATCTGCCTGCCTCTGCCTGCTGGGATTAAAGGTGTGTGCCGCCACATCCGCCACCACCACCTGGCTACTTCACTTGTTTTAATTCTACCCAGTGGCTCAAAGTGTGATGTTGTGATGTCTATGGGACAGTGCTTGTCCAGTACAGCATTCTCCACCAAGTCTTGGAAATTAAGTTTTGGCCCTACCTTAGAAGTGTCTTATAAAGATATATGCTCTTAGGAATAAATATCTTTTCCCTTGATTTAATTTAGATAGAGAGATGACTACAGTTAGGACATTTTTATAAAAGTCACAATTGGTAAAGGATCTTTTCATTTAAAAAAGCAGAAACAAACGAGGAGCTTGGGCTGTGGGTCAGTGGCAAAGGGCTTGAGCCTAGCCTGTGTGGAAGCTATGAGTTCCATGCCTACCACCCCAAGGAGATAAGATCCCAGAGACTGACTTATTTGACTATTATTATCTATATTTTTTGAGTCAAAATCTTACTCTGTGCCCAGATTATCCTGGAACTCACTCTGGAGACCAGTCTGGCCCGTGATGATCCTCCTGCCTCAGTCTCCATGCCCAACTCCGAAGCATCTTGTTTTAAACATTAAATCATGGGATGGGATCCAGCTTTCTAATGTTTGAAATCACTCTCCCAAAGGTCCAGATTTCAGTGGTTGGAGCAGTGACTTGGAGAACTAAATGTTTTCTGGTTAAAAAGAAAAAAAAAATGTTTTCAGGTCATCCCCTCGACTAGCTATTTAACAGAAAAGAGCCTCGGGTCAGGATTATACCGCTGAGGTAGAATGGCAGTTTCCACACGCCACCCGGGCTGAACTGACCGCTGGCTGTGTAGGCTTCCATTTCCCACCTCGGGAGCTCCTCCGCGGCCTTCAGGGCTCTTTCCTGTCACACACAGGCCGAGCGGCGCCCTCCGACAGGTGCAGCGCGAAGAGCCGCCTCGCGC